ACGTGTTAGGGGATCACTTTCTAACCCAATTGAGGTGGAATGTGGTGTCCCGCAAGGCTCAGTGCTGGGACCGCGTTTATTCCTGGTGTTTATCAACGACCTGGTATGAGTCATCTCCTCAAACTTCCTGCTTTTCGCCGATGACGTCAAGAGTTGGCGGGCGATTAGTAACAAGACAGATCAAGATCTGCTCCAACAGGACCTTGATTGCATTTACGAACGGTCACAGAGGAACAAGCTTCAATTGAACATAGCTAAGTGCAAAGTGATGCATCTGCGTCACCAGCCGGTGAGCGCTTACAAGCTTGGAGACCACACCTTGGAAAAGCTCTCTCAGGAGCGTGACCTGGGTGTATTGGTACAGGAAGATCTCGGGTGTTCAAAACAAGCAGAGAAGGCGAGGAGACCTGGAAATCAACACTTCGGCCTTCTTCGCAGAGCCTTCGGTCGGTTTGAACCATCAGTATTTCCCCAAATGCTTAACGCCTACGTGCGACCTCACGTGGAATATGCTATTCAGGTGTGGCAGCCGTGGCAGAAACAGGATCGCGTTGCTCTCGAGACTCTTCAACGACGGGCAACCAAGAACGTCAGGGGCCTCTTTCATCTGCCCTATCAGCTTAGACTGAAATCTCTAAGAATGTACAGCAGTCGATATCGGCTTTTGCTGGGGGATCTCATAATGGTTTACCAGATTCTGAAGAACCCAAACCACATTTGCCGTCCGCTGCTGGAATTGAACCCCAACACTAAACTAAGAGGTCACCCCCTGAAACTGACAATTCATTATAGCCGGCTTGAATGTCGTAGAAATTTCTTTTCTCTCCACGTGTGTGAGCCCTGGAATGTCCTCCCTAATTATGTCGTCTCTGCTCTCAATCTGGCGATAGTTAAAAAACGTGTTGACGATGCATTGTCTCACTTACATTTCATTTTATGACTTGTTAGCCAGGGGCTACAAAACGCAATCAAACGGTGTGTTGCCAAACGCCTAACCAATGGATTTATGGATTTATACGTTTGATATGCGAACATCTCCGCTATTCCACATAAGTCTATGGTGAGTCCACCACAACGCTTTTCACTTTATTATGCAATTGATTTTCGCAATAATTTCCATCCCACGGGACTTGTTAAGCGATGCTTTTTTACCCCTAATAAACCATTGTCCATCGTCCATTGTCCATTGACTCGAAGAGCAGTTCCATGCACTCAGTGTGGAGCGGACTACGGTCCAGCCACCACCTTGTATGCGATCGATTCCCCAAATACAACGTGCATGTGTTTGCCCGTGAAGGAGTGGGGGCCGGCTTCGTCAATGAAATGTGGCTCCCATCCACACGCCACCCGATCTTATTCCTTCGGGTTTACACTGGATATGGGGTGTGTGGTTGGAGCTGTGTGTGGTGCAGCGCAAGCCACCCATGGTCCCTCTGTAGGCGCAGGCGTCCTGTGGCTGGCCACAGTGACAGGCAAATCCGAAACCGGATGCCGCTTACCAGATAAGCCCTTTGACCAAGTAGATCAGCGAATCACTCTACAAAGGCTGCAGGCCCACGGAAATTAGAACCCTGATCTTGGATAGAACAGCAATTTCCTTCTTCAGCGGCGCCTTCAGGTCCGAGTTCGGAACTCATTTTCTAATTCAGTTCACATGAATTGCTGTGTTCCACGAGGGTCTGCACTTATTCTTGGCCTTTATCAGCGATCTAGTGTGCCATTTGGTCGAATTCCGTGCATTTTGCTGATGACACCATGATATGACGAGCAATCGGTGGTGAAGAAGATCCAGATCTACTGCAATGAGAGTTAGACCGCGTTTTTGAATGGTCAAAGGCAACCCGGTCAAGTGCAACACTACATGTACACCACAACCCCACTTACGCCTATAAGCAAGGAGACCACAATTTAAAAATCACCTCACAGAAGCGCGAGCTGGCGGTGGTGATGTGAGATGACTTCGGTCGTTCAGCGCAGTCCTCGAAGGAGTCCTGAACCGGAAACCAACATGTTGGCTTCTTAAAGAGAGTGTCCAGGAGGTTCGACTTCCCGTCTTCCCCTAGAATGCTAAATGCGTTTGTGACGCCCTCTGTAACTACCGGATCCAGGCCTGGCAACCCTGGCTAAAATGCAATCTGGTTGCACTGGAGATCGCACAGCGAAGGGTAACCAATACTGAGTAGCGATTGTTCCATCTGTCATACCATCCGTGAATGAAAGTCTAAGAATATTCAGTGAAGTTATCGCCGTCTAGTAGGGGACCTCATACTAGTGTAACAGATCTCGAAACCTTCGCTCACACTTGCCTTTACTTACTGAAACTTACCCACGACACCAAAGTAAGATATCACCCATGTGCCCATTGTTGATGAACGCCACGATGACGCAGTATACCACCTGCAACACGTGATTTGATTTCTGTGCATTGATTGACTACAACGCACAGACGAACGTTGGGCTTACCAACCACCAAGAAGTCGGTGTGAACGGATATACTTGTCTGCTAATATGATTCGTCCATAGACGCGCAGTTCACTTTAGTGTAATCTCTGTTTTTGAACTCACTCACTATACACAAACATCCCAAGTGACCAGTCAACACCTTGAATTTTTGTCCGTATTGTCCCATTGTAACAGAAAATTCTTCACTTTGCTGACGAAGAATAGCTTTCGCTTCACAACTGTTGTCACGACGTCGGATATACCAAACCCTCCAGGAAGCAAATATAAAGCATTAGTCAACTGAATCTGACGAGTGTGTTCGTCGAACTGTCTGCTATTTAATCGATACCTCACCACAATTATGGTATAGGGAAGTGAAAAATTAACGGGTAGATTTGGCAACCATACCCTTAACGTCAAGCCACAGTGCTTTAGGACACATCATATAGCACAATGCCATTACAGGTCATAGTCAAAATTTCGTATGTTATTTTAGAAAAAATAGATAGTCAATAAGTCCATATTGGGCAATTTGTTTTTCCACTGATTTCAAAAGAGGCAAACAAGTGATTTGGTTAGCGCAACTACATGAAACCCATGCAGACTACGCTTAGGTTTGCACATTATTGGTGTCAATCGAAGGTTTGGTATGGTTTACACTTCGAAACGGAAGGCGAACTTATTTTCTTTTGTGCTCTACTACTCATGGGAAAGCATCGCAAATTAATCATTGCCAACTAAACTTTGTATCCCCAACGTTTCGTGAATCCTCCCTAAGGTAATACGACATAGCTGAGCTCTTATTGATACGAGGTAAGGCACGTGTTTGAATAAACCTGCTTCAGCCGTGTCGGAAAGCTAAGATATGCTCCAAGCATTTGGTTTAAGTTGATCTACAAGACTTGAGGGTATAACTGTGGCGCTAAGTATCATCCCATCATGGTCTCATGGAAGTCCTCACTTCCAGTCTGGTTAATGTTGCTGCATTCGGTCCTGCCTGTGATGTCTAGCTTGAATGTCGCATCTCACCAAGCAAGCTAGAAAATAGCAGCATAATGGGTCCTCATTCTGTTCCTTCTCACCCTTGCAAATACACATGTTATAGGTGCAGTATGACACCCAAATCATTAGTGATAGACGGTCAAATACTGTATACCACTCTCACAATGCGTGAACTTGGGTTGCATTGCCGGAGCTCCTTCAAATTCACCGGACAGGTGCAGTAGGATATTACAAAATCCCGTCAAATGGGATGACTGATAGTAATCTTTTTAGTCTCACATAACTTAAAAAGTACCTATGTAATACTCATGTGCGTCTTTTATGGGAACACTGCTCGTCAGGTTACTCCAACCTCAGGTAATTTAACAAGACTGAAATGGAAAATGTAAACCGCTGTTTACGAAGTGTCATCTGAAAAACTGGTAAACCTTGGTACTATAACCGTCACTGTGAGGTCACAATAGGATCCATCTGGCTAAGGATGCTAAAACTCCTCTTGAGCATTATTTCTGAAATGATCCAAAAACGAGTCTTTCAGGAGGCACTTCAAACTGCCTCAAGTACAATATATGAAATAGACGTAACACGTTGTCAATCGACAAAATACGAACTAAGTTATGATAAAACTCCTTCTTTATTCGCTACGCAGTTATTTTGTACAACCTACCACAGATTATGAGAATATGCTGTTCAAAGCGGATCTTGATAATGCACAAAACAGGAAATTGTCAGCCAATAAAGTAAGGGATATACTCAAAACCGACTTGGTCATAATCATGTATTAAGAGCAAGGGCCAAATGCCATATAACGAACAACAAACTTCACAGCTTCGAAGAGTTATTTCACCTCTATCCTCTCTTCTCCTTTCTTTCGCCCCTAGTGCAACGAAGCACAATGAGTGACAACGTAGATACAAGGTAAACAGCCAGATCCAACTTTTCAACTTACCTTTCCTCATTACTACAAGTTTAGCTAGCACTTCACTTAACTTGACAATGATTCATACAACTACGTCAACACAGACGCTCTGAAGCGTCTTGTACTCAAGTTTTTACCTTATTTTAACATCTTCTTACACCACCCAATTTGATTCCAACTAACATTTACATTTTCATAGTGTCAATCCAATCTTTCAGCTCTCATGTTTACATGAAAGGTAAAAAGGCGAGACAAAGTGATTTTCTTCCCATTATTCATTAGTTGGTTTTATCCGTTTATACCAGTCTGCACAAACAGTGCGTTAAAACAGCAAACGAAAAACACAGTCAAGTGGATCAGACAGACTCATTCATTTCTACCTTTCGCCCATTTCAATGGATTAGTGAGAACAATGCATTTATTACGGATAAAATGCGAAGAGGGAAATCGAATGTTGGTTATCAAACAAAACAATTGGGTGAACTTGTTATAAATTTCAATTACACACATAGCCTGCTCACATTGTCCAGCATCTATTTAGCGTTGGTTATATCATCTAATCCAGGTGATATAATGGATCCTCTAGTTGAATTTTGAATTAAGCCAACGTGGGAGTGGGGATGACGGAATACTGAAGAACGGTATTCCGGGGGGGTGGGGGGAGGGGGGGGGGGACGGGGGTGGGGGGGGGGGGGGGGTGGGGGGGAGCGGGGGGGGGGGGGGGGGGGGGGGGTGGGGGGGGGGTGTGGAGGGGGGGGTGTGGGGGGAGTAGCCGTGGGAGGCATTGCGGGGGGGGGGGGGGGGTGGGGGCGGGGGACCGCAGGGTGGGGGAGGGGGGGGGGGGGGGGGGTGGGGGGGGGGGGGGGGGGGGCGGGAGGGGGAAGGGGGGACAAACCGGGCGGGACACACGCGTATGGGGGGGGGGGGGGGGCCCTTGGGCGCGGGGGGCCAAGGAGGGAGGGGGGGGGGGGGGCGCGGGGGGTTAGATGGATAGAGGTAATGGGCGGCGGGGGGGGGGGGGGGGTGGGGGGGGGATAGCCTGATGAGTGATCTGAGAGATGAGACATCCAATATGAGATCACCACGCAACACAATAATGGGGGATTGTGTTAGGGATATATCTATTAATCTCAATAAGGTAAGGGGTGGGGGTGTTGGAGGTGGTCAAAAGGGTGAGGATAAACAAGGTTGTGAAAGGGGGGGGGTGGGGGTTGGGGGTGTTTGGGTTTGGGGGGGTTGTTGGATGGTGTGGGAATGGAATTTAGGTGGGGAAAGGGGGTGAGGGTTTTAGATTGTTGATTTAGGTAATTTAGAGATGGGATTGTGAGGTTGAGGGGGGTTGATGGGAGGATAGGGGAAAGAGAGGAAGGGAATGTAAGATTAAGAGGGAGGAGGAAGGGATAGTGTGTAATAGGTGCTGGTTAGGAGAGGATTATGAGAAGAAGGAGATGAGTTTGGTTTGTAAGGGCTGTAGATTAGTTACAGAGATATTATTTGTGTGATTATTGAAAGAGGTTTATTAGAATATAATGGTATGAAAAGAAATATAGGTAGGATGGTACTTTACATATTGATAGTGTGTAAGACTGCTCTCTTACTTGCCACTAGAGTATGAGATCGTCAGCAGAGTAGAATGTCGGCTGTTACCTTGCTCTAGGTAGTTTATAAACACTAGTAATAGCCCTGATCTAAGTACCGAGTCTTGGGGGATGCCACAGTGAAGCCCTATGGGGTCAGACAGGACGCAACAAATTCGTACTTTCAAGCTGTGTTAGAGTTGAAACTAATGTATCCAGCACAGAATGGGATCAACTATTCCATGCCTTTCAAGCTTGTAAAGCATGCGGTGATTTGGACGATCAAAAGCCTTAGAGAAATCGAGGTAGGCGGTGTCGACTATCTTCCCAGCATCGACAAATTCCGACCAGCTGGCACTGGCTGATAAGATGTTCCTCGTACACGAGCGATTTTGACGGAAGCATTGCAGCTGCTTCTTGCTGGTGTTTTGCCTTACTAAATACTTCCTGAGTGTTTTTCAACAACAGATTCCCTGAATTTAACAAACACAGCAATAAGTGTAATCGGTCGATAGTTTTTGGTCACTATACCACTGTCTCTCTTGTAAATAGGGGTAATTGTTTCACGTTTCCGGATATTTAATAAGTGCATCTCGTCTAGAGGGCACTGACAAAACTGAACTAATGATTCAGCTTAGCTCGTGGTAGCTACCTCTAAGTACTTGGGGCGTAGGTTATTCGGGCCAGGTGAAGTGTATTCCCGTAGAGACATCAGAAGCTTCAGCCCATCTGCGGCAGTGAATGAGAAGTGGCTAAGTTCTGGTGGTAACGTGACCTGTGTGAAGATCGTATGAGATGGCGATGTACACTGTAAAATAAAAACGGACTGACGCCTAAGAGCATTAGCTGCAAATGGGCAGTTTGCGTTCGTTCAACATGCGGCATTTCGATGGTGCATCCTCGCTGCACTTTGTGGATTGTGCTAAAGTGCCTGTGAGGTAGCTTAGGATTGCAGCAGCACTTAACTGAATACTGTTGCCGTCGCAACTACTTTTTCTGGACAACTTTCACAGAGCGATTTCGCTCGTTTATGTGGCCTATCCGGTTCTCATCGTTTGGATCAGATTTACTTGTTTTCCAAAACGAATCTCAAAGAGGCAATCTTTTCCGAGTCCTGCTCATCAGGAAGTATCAAAGTAGCGTAGTGTACAGCGTGTCATACTTAAAGCACTAGGCTCTGACTTCCACCCAAGCACAGCCTATCTGCACCTGATGAGTCCAAACCAAAAAGAAACCGTGGTCGTGGTGCGCAAGTGTTGGGAGGAGCAACGCCGAAATATTTCCAAATACCTTATGTTTTTGAACTAAGGATCATGGTCTATGATGCGTTAGTTACTAGAGCGTTAACCGGGTTGAAGAACTTCCCCAAAGTACTATCTAAGTGTTGTTGCGTTAGAAGCGACCAATCAGAGAGTATATGAGGTTAGATAAAATGTGATGCATTATTATCCAAACAACTGTATTGGCTCCATTGAACCGTAATGCGTAGCCAAAGTGAATGAAAAGAAGGACAGCATGATTACAGTGCTCCAACGGTGAACCTAATGCTAAAATGTCGTGTTGTTAAAGCCAAAATAAAAATGGCTGGCTTGTACATTATTCTGAAACTCGAAGGAGTAGTAACATAAGATTTAGTGGTAGCCCAGCAATGAATTATCGCAGTTCAGTCTTTACTTGCTCGACAGCGGAGGCCGGTGCCGTTAGAGCGTGCAAAATAAAGTCACCCACTAGAAGAACATGAGCGTCGGGATGAGCCACAAAACTTTGCAGTGCAGCAAATAGTCTGTCCAATTCCAGCTTGGACAAGGAAGGACGGTACACGTGTTCAATTAAATACGTGCCAACACGTTTCAGTTAGAGGCGGCGTCAAAGTTAGTCCACAACTTAAATCTGCGCATCGTCAGAGGCTAGGAGATATAACTCACTGCCCTGGTTCAAAGTTACACCACCTCCCATAATAGGTTTATCCTTACTTAATAACCACATACGTGGTAGAGCAATCTCCGTATCAATGCTTTCATCATTCAGCCCAATCTTATATATTATTATCAGGCCCATAGGCATCAAGGCTTAGCGAGATTGACAATCAGTTATTAGGTTGAAGATACACTGAACATTGCTATACATAAAGTAGAGTGCTTCCAAATGTCAGAAGCGTGTCTGAGGATACAATTAATATGCAGAGTAATACTTTTGTATTAATGCGCGTGTATATGTCTGTCCCTATAAACACTCGCACGTGCATCTACTAAAGCGCACCATTCAATACTCAGTGATAAAAGAAAGATCGCACTAATTTCAAACCGAGTGATAAGGCGTGGGAAATGAAAACCATGTCACCGAAGGATGCTGATTGAGGACTTATCGAGCTAGTGAATAGGTATATCATTGACTAAAGTGGTGGCAAATTAAACTGCCTCTACTAAATATCTATATTCACGAAGATCCCCATTTAAAATTTTAAAAATTGGGCTGCACTGTTCATGGGTACAGCAGCTTGTAAAACTGAGCAAGACACTATGTAGTTACGCATAGATGTACTTAAGAAGTTACGACATAACACAACGCCAAAACATGCAGGAATCATTCACGAAGGAAGCTTAGGATATAAAGACCATCTTACACTGCATATGTCAAATCCAATGCATTTGCAGAGCCGGTTACATAGAGATAACCGTCCGGACTCTGCTTTCTCAAAGGAAAGAGCACGTGCTCAGATAGGTTCAGCGTAAACCTGTGCTCAATCCCGTCAATCACATTTGCCGCACTCGCGTAAATAACCGGTTTCCTCCATTGGCAAAAATCGGATCGCCGTTCACCGCATAGAGCTAGTCTCAGCGTTCAGTTGTCTTGCGCCAGATGAAGCCAGCCCTGTGCGTACAAAATCAATTATTTGTCAATCTAATGCTTCTTTGGACGTAAGGGTGAATATCAGTCACTCCTCCAAGCTTGCCTGGCCGCACCCAATGTGTGTCACGTGCGTGGCTAGTTCACAGAACCTTCTTCAACCGCGTTTGTGAGGTATAACTACAACGATATCTCAGAGAGACTTGGTGACAAACAACAAGTTCACTGGCGTGATTGAATTGGTGATCACCATGACACGGACTGCCAGTCCACGGACAGCAATGCTTAAAGCTTGGCAATTGAACGTCAATTGTGGAATCTGTCTTAATAATGCAAGAATGGAATGCAATGCCTGCGTTGTTTAAATGCTTTCGTCTTAAGTGCGGTTTCCTTAGCCTAAGCGAGATAAAGCAAAGAAATAACACGACCGATTCCGTTTGGATCTACACAGAGAGTAAGACTATTCCACTCACCGGATGTATAGTATTGCTGTCACATATGTGCGGCAGACGGACAGAGCCTGTTAAACAAGCAACTGCTGAAGAACCTGCCCCAATGGACCCATAAGAAGCCTATCTTCAGAACAATGTTCAAGAGTCTGGACAACTTAACCACGCTGATTTGCCATGATATGGTGGCCCGCTTCTAAATAAATAAATAAAAGTAAATGGCCGATTTATTCTTGACGGTGCGAGACACGCCTTTAAATGCACGAGCAAGGTAATACGAACGTGTGGTATCAGGAATGGTATATAAATGTTACAAGTTGACCAGTACATACTGGATATATGTGTGTTTGTATGTGTGGTGTTTATGTGGGTGCACGTGTACGTAATCGTGAGTTGGTTCGGTGAATGCGCCAAAATTGGAAGGGAGCAGATGGACTAATTGAAGTGGTTGACGTTCGCGAAATATCTACTATCCTCCGGCCTTGCAAGGCAGTGACTTTGTTTTGTAGCGAATAATATCCGCCAAGTCACAGCATTGTTAAACAGACGTTCGTGGCTTTTGTAGGAAAAACGCTTGTCAGGCAATAATTCACCACTTCATGGAACACTGCCGCCGGACTATTAGCTGGATCGGGTTAAATTCAAACCACCTAGCTGACACCTCGTGGAGGTTGGTCGACCAGCCAGCCACTGATGCTGTCGGGTATAATACTTCATCAATGTTTCGCAGTATATTTAGATCTCTTGCGTGTGCAGCAAGGTACGCGCCCACTTCAGACACTTTCGGCTTTTGTATGAAGAACGCTTGCCAGGCAAAATTCACCACTTCATGGAACACTGCCGCCGAACTATTAGCTGGACCCAAACCCCCTAGCTGGCGCTACGTGTAGTTTTTCGTTTAGCCAGCTAATGATGCTGACTTGTTGGTGAACTACCAGAGCAAAGCGCCCGAAGCGCTCCATCCAATCGACCACGTACCCACATGTAACACACGAGCGGTTAAATGTCGCCTACTGACAGCGACCGAAGCGATCAAGGTGCGCCTACATATCCCGTCCCAAGTGTGCATAAGCAATTTTTCCTGGCCTTAACTCTATCCTTGCCCCTTGTAACGATGACCCATGATGTAGATAACACCACACACATACCATTGATGGCTGTGGGA